ACAACACAACGATCAATTCTGAAGTGTACTGTCATCACCTGGACAAATTGAATGATTCACTTAAACAGAAAAGGCCAGAATTGATCAATAAAAAAGGTGTAGTGTTCCACCAAGATAATGCGAGACCTCATACAAGTTTGGTAACTCGCCAAAAGCTTTTACAGCTTGGATGGGATATACTGCCACACCCACCATATTCTCCAGATCTGACACCTTCTGATTATTATTTGTTCCGGTCTCTACAAAATTTTTTAGACGGTAAAACCTTTACTTCAAATGAGGAAGTCAAAAATCACCTGGATCAGTTTTTTGCCAGCAAAGAACAAAAATTTTATGAGCGTGGAATCATGCTACTGCCAGAAAGATGGCAAAAGGTATTGGACCAGAATGGACAATATATAATTCAATAAAATATTTATTCAGAAAATCGTCTTTCATTTTCATTAAAAAAAACGAAATTACTTTCCGAACAACCTAATATATGTTGCGTGAAGGGAAAAGGCTGCCAACTGTGAAACGCTAAAAAACATGGGGCGATATTGATTGATAGTTTGTTTTTATTTTAAAACTGTTTTAAATGATGTCTTAAAATGCTAATACAATCCTCGGATTGACTTATGACATTTTAAGATTGTACTTAAGACAGTCTTAAGTATTGTTCGTTTTATCTTTCAGGAGCTGCTCAAGCTCGCTCCGAATGAACCCAGTGTACTTGAAATGTAGGATTCGATAGACGTCCGATATTCATCGTAACGATACAATTATAAAGTGTATTCTTTTTCTATAGAAAAAGAAACATAAACAAGGAAAGATTCGATATCAATTTCTCGACGCGAAACAGGCCGGTATTCATAGTCGATTCTTGCATTTAAGACTATCTTAAGTACAATCTAAGATGTCATAATTCAATCCGAGGTATTAGTTGTATTAACATCTTAAGACATTATTTAAGATAGTTTTAACATAAAAACAAACTATGAATATCGCCCTATGTTTTTTAGCGTTTCACAGTTTGGCAGCCTTTTCCCCTCACGCGATATTCATGGACAGAGACGGCGGAGATTTAGAGAGAGAGAGAGAGACGCTTGTAAATTGAGCACACCATATTATTCCTTCCATCATGCTCCGAGTCAATAGTCTGTTCTGTTTAGTTGCAAAAGAAGAAACTGTGCAAGAAATGCAGCTAAAAAGAACAGACCTTAACTTGGAATCGGGTCGAGTCAGTAAATCGAATACGCTATAACTTATGTTGCGATGATTTTGTTAACAAGTGTATTTTTTATTATGTCTAAATAATTACACCTGTTGGTTACAACATAAATAAACAGTAAGTAACGCATTTATCTATTGAAAAAATGATGTAGCACAGTAGAAACGTAGAAAATTCGTAATTCAAAGGTCTTAAGTTCGATCTCACTAAGAGAAGTGATTCGTTAAAATCAATGTAAATAATCTAATTTCAAGATCACCATCAATAGATTACTTCATAGACTTTCATATTAAGACCATAACAGAATAATGAACAACGAAATTCTTCTAATAATAAATTTTTATAAATATTTTCGTTTAACTTGTTGAAACACTTAAAGCAAATGTTGAAAACTGAATATTATTTTTTATAATGAATTTATTCGTAAGTATCCAAAGTCAATCAGTATCCAAAGTCTCAATACATCGGAGTGCACATGCAATATAACTACTGAATTAAATCGAACTTGCTATATCGTAGAATGTATGGTAAATACGTTTTTAACCTTCTCATGACATATAGAAAGAGAATTTTTTACAGTTACTGATATCGTTAGTATCTGAATTAATTTTATATATTCTGAAACTAAATCTCTCTCATGATCTTATCTTTTCGAAGAATTGTTTCCGAGAGATGTTCATATGTAGAATTTCACACATGAAGAATTCTGATGTGTGGAATACTATATGGTACACACTGCCCACAAAAGTCGCCACCCATGATGGGGCACCTTGAGTTTCTTTAAAAATGTGTTTTCAGTTTTTCCCCAAACCAATCAACATTTAGCAAATATATTCAGTGCACTTTTAAATATACATAATTTTTTAATTATAAAATCAACAAAAAATCTTATAAATACTTTTGAGAGTTTCAATTTTTGTAACTCATGGTTCCCCCGTCTCGTCTATATATTTCATTCAAGGGCGGATCCAAAGAATCATTCAATTATAGAGCAGTAGGACGAAATGTAAATATTTACTTATTATTAATGTTATTTTCGTCGTTGATATTATTTTAAATATTTTTTAAATACTTTTATTACTTTATTGCTTTACTATATTTACTATTATTATTATTACTACTATTATTATCATGATCATAAAATATAAATTATATGTCTAGTATTCAGCATTTATTAGCCAAATATATTTTTTATACGTGTGAGACGTTTCACGTCAACCGGGTTACCTGCGTGCCCAAAAATTAGCGCCATGAAAATAAACATTTAAGGTCTCAAATTATTCGATGTGCATATACTTTCGAAAGAAATGTGCCATTTTAAGAGATCTAATATAGTAGATTCAATATGGCGTCGAGAAGCGATGAACAGCGTGCAAATGTAACATTTTCTTGTTTGAATTATTGTACTGATCTCCAATTAGTTTGAAAATGATTACTTCTAGGTTTTTCGGGATTGCTGATTACGAATCTGCTGTCCAAATTTCAAAATTTAAAATAATAGATCTAATATGGTGACTAGCGTACAAAACCTTGAGCCCTATATTCTTAGACCTTCAACCTCTTTTCTCAAGCCTTTTAATCTCGAGCGTGAAGAGGTAAACTATTTTAAGTTACTCTTAGAATAAAAAATATTTCATCACTAGTTTTCAGCAGGTAATTGATTTTTGAACGTGCATTTAAAATTCAATCCACCTGCTGAAAATTAATGATGAAATATTTTTTATTCACTTATTCTCTAAGACTAACCTAAAATAGTTTACCCCTTCACGCTCGAGATTAAAAAGCTTGGTTGAAGGTCTAAAAGTATACGGCTCAAGGTTTCATACGCTGGTTGCCATATTTTCGGTTCTACTATTTTGAATTTCGAAATTTTGGCAGCAGATTCATAATTAATAATGAAAAACCTAGAAGTAATTATTTTCGAACCAATTGGGAATTAATACAGTAATTTAAGCAAAAAAATGTTACATTTGCGATGTTCGCTTCTCGACGCCATATTGGATCTCTCAAAACAGCACATTTCTTTCGAAAATACATGCACATATGAATAATTTGAGGCCTTGACCGTTTATTTTTATTGTGCTGATTTTTGCATGCAGGTGATCTAGTTGATGTGGAATCCCATATACATTAACATAATACGAGATGTTATTTAAAAACTTTGTTACATAATAAATTCTAACTTTCTGTTCGGAGGAGGGCGAGGGCGGTCGTACCCTCTTGTATCCGTCACGAGATAAAATTTAATTTTAAGTATGTGCCAAAAATGTATTACTACAAAGAACAGACTTTACAGTAAAATTTTTTTAATTTAGTCATCACACATTGGATTTGCTATTTTGACTTTTTTTACTTCAGATTGTAATTAACGATTCCAAATATTTTCATGTATTAATATTTAGCAAAATATGTTAAAACAATTTGTGCAACAAAGGCTGTGTTTGGGGAGCGCGCTATCAGCATTATTCCAACAAACACCAAATTACATGTAACGTACATGTTAATTGTAATTTCCCATTCAACAGTATAACTGTAATATAACATCTGTAATTTGTATTTGCTGGGATTATTCTTTATTTTATTTTATTTTATTCTTTATTTCTTGGAGTCTGTACTCGATTTGCGATTAATTTATTTTAACTTTATTGTTTATTAGATGTAAAATATGGACAGAATGACGCAATAATACTGATATCACCCTTCCCGAATGCAGCCAGTGAGTTTTATTAATGTTTGTTTCTAAAATATCAATTTAGTTTTTGTTAGTTTCTTTTTAATTTTTTTGCAAATTGTGCGTATGTGGTTTCTTTCTGTTTTATGACTATTTCTTTATGTTACAGTTGGAGAGTCAATACATCATGCATCATGAGTTTAGTGAGTACGCTCTCGTCGATTTTATAAACAATTATACACAAGGTTTGTTACAGCGAACATTGCGTTCAGACAATTCAAAGCGTTATAGAACACAGAAATTGCTTGATGAAGTCAATAGTAATAATGCAGATTTGCGTTCAAAGATTTGTGTACCAGAACTGACAACAAAAACATTTTTGGATGCTGTATTGGATCCATCTAAGGTCAGTTATATGCAATGCTTATGCCGTTTATATATGAGAAATGTAGAACAATATACAATACTTAATATTGATGGATGTTTCAATTTTGCAACGAAACAATCGTAATTGATGGATATATAAAATATTTTGCAAAATTTTGAAGCAAAAACATATTAAAAGCAGTATATTTAAGCAGAGATTGAATCGCTATTACGTTTTTTATTGCTTATAAACGATATAAATCAAAATATAATTAAACTTTTTTTAGGACGTCGTTATAATGTATCATTCTCCTTACTGTGGATTTTGTAGTGCTATATCGTATGTATATTTAACAGTGGCATATTACTTAGCCAACATGAATCATCTAACTTTTGTAAGAGTTGATGGAGATAACAATGATTTACCTTGGGAATATAGTATGAATCGTTTTCCATCCATTTTATTCTTTCCTGCAAAAAGGTGCGTAAATTGCCAAACATTTTACTATTGAACATGATGCGATTAGTTTAAATGTTATTTTCCTCATTGTGCTTTAAAATTTGTATAAAAATATATTCTTCATCCATTTTTTGTTGCTTTCTATTACTCTCTTTCTTTATCATTGATAAATGACTTTTATTCACATATGGAACATTTTTTTATTTAAAACATATCATTTTTCTTCTAATAATATTTCGTTTTGCTGACTTTTTTTTTAGGAAGGATGATAGTACTGTATTTCCATTTTCTGTTCCTATTACCATTCCAAACTTACTGAACTTTGTGCTGGCGAACTTGGACGGTGATTCCCACGTCGAAGCTCTGACCAATATCTGTCAGATGGGAACTGGCGAAGCGCCGAATAAGTGTATCGCTAGAACTCGAAGACTGTGTTTAGATATTATCGAGCAACTTCTACAGAATTACAGAAAGTTAAGACGGCATTTAAGCTTCCTAGATAAGAAAATCGCTCGCAATAAACGTAAAATCATTTTATTTAAATTAGAACATATCAAGGATATTCATCTTATTTTGGGCTCTACTGTAGATCTTAGTAAGGATCGAAAAAAGGCGCAATTGATTAAGAGAAAGTTTTTTAAATACTATAGCACTATTAGGTCGCTAAAAATAGACGAGAAAATAGAAAAACAAAGTTATAAATCTCAGGATGTTGTACATGTACCAACTGTTAAACGAGAGAGAATAAGAAGCGAATTGTGATATAGATTCCGCCTTACAATGCAAGATATATCCATGTGAAAGTAAATATTGATATCTTGAGGCACTTTCAGTTAAAAGATTTATGCCAAATTGTAAAAAATACAGTTTTTGATAATTATTGCAATAAATCACAACAATAATTTTAATTTCTGTATATAATTAAAGTCGATATATCCTTAGTCTCACACACTTATAACTACATACTCTTTTATTTTCTAAAGTGTGACATTTTAATGATCAGTGTGACAGAACTTATTATTAATTTTTTCTTGTCGCAATGTCCAAAGAGGGTATCCTCGGCGTCTTTTAGTTCCGCCGTTCGCGCACGTGCACTGATTTTTAATTTATCTTGAGCTAACATTTACGAGGAGATACTGGAGTCTTTGCTTTAATTTTTTCATGGAAAGAGAAAATTGTATTGCTTTTTAAGCTGTATCGGCTCAATTTATTCGTTGCTCGCAACTATCTTTATATTTCGACGAATTCTTCAGATCTCCACGAAAGAAAAGAATTGTGAAAGTTAACTGGACTCCGCCGGACGTAACAAAATAAAGTCGACAAATTTAAAACGAGCTCTTATTTATTCATGTATATGTATAAAGTAAAATCATTACAAATTTATACTAATAACGCTCGTTATTGCGAATAGGTTATTATTACAAAGCTTAATTAATTTTTCCTTATTTTGGAATAAACAGCTTGTTATGTAAATTCGGTTTATTGGTTTATAGTGTTTTCCAAACATTCATATTCTCTACTTACAATATTTTGCTAAACACATATAAGAATATATTCTAAAATAACGCGTTTTTTATGTAATTTAGATATTATATTTATTTATTCTGATGAATGCTCGTTATATTTGGTTAAGAAATATAAATAATACATTTAAAATAATCGGATAACTATTATAATTCTACGCGCTCACATTCTTAACTAGCTAGGTGTATGTATGTTCAGGGTGTTAGGGGTGGAAGAGAGAATGCGGAAAGAGTTTATTTATCTATTCTTACACCTTATTTTTGTTATGGCAGTATAGAAGAAAGATAAAAATTAAAGAAAAATTTGGCTGGGATTTCGTAATATTTAGGTGAATTGGAAAGAAGGGCATATAGGAAATCAACCTTAGAAATTATGAATCGGATTCATCATTTTTATCCAGATCATAGTCTGGATCAATCATATAGGCGTTATCGATAAGGACAAAAGTCTGAGGAAACTAGGAAAATAAGGCAAGGAATTAGAATTGCCTCAATGATAATAATATTTAGAGTAGAGAGAAGGAACTTTATCAAGAAATTCGATTGAAGAGGAAGAGGCAGAAGAAGAGGGACGAAGAGGTTTTGATGTTGAGAGCTGAGAGCTTGTAGGGAGAGGTGAATCTGGGGATGTTTCTTCGATTAGGATCATCGATATATAGTGTGCTGTTAATCCAGCATTGACATATAGGTTAGGTTATATGTCAAAGTATTGGCATATGCTGTTGATCCAGCAGTACCTACCAACTCCAATCAAGCTTTAGTAAACAGAGAAAGAAGTTCATCCATTTACCTCTCCTCTCACTTTACTCTTCTTTCTACCTCCACCACTGTTATCGGTTGTCCATTCTATATGTCTATGATTAGGGCCGATGGGAATAAATTAGGTGATTCTGAAAAGGCGTGTTCTCAGATATTTCTACCTGGATGCTCCCCAGGTGTCACATCATTCTTAAAAATGTACGATAAACAACAAGAATGGAGTGATATCTGGGTAACACTCGAGTGGGAATCTGAACTCATCAAAGGAAAGGGATGAGGAGATAGAAGAGGAATTCGTTAAGTTTGGAGAAAAGTTTGGAGGCAGGTAGCGAAGGAGGACTAACGGGATTATAAAGAGGAGAGGAGGGAGAATTTGTGTATGTGTGGAAAAATGATCGTTTAATTCTATATGTAATCGATTAGCATTAGACTCGATCTGAGCTCTCTCTTTGTTTCCGTTCTCATCGGTTGTGGCGGTTCCGGCGGTGTTTCTCGAAAGCTTTTGACTTTATTTTATGATGGGGGGAGAGTCCACTAAAATTTACCATTTCGAGAATAAAGTAATTATTTAACAAAAAAAAGGAGAGAGAGGAGTAACGACGCGATGTTAATGATTCATGCGGGTCATAACTAATGTCATGAATCATTTCGTCGATGTCGATCGGAAAACCCGTAGTAGCAAGAATGCTACGAGTCAAACCAATCTCGATCGGCGGGTAACCCAGGTGGCTAATTATACCGAAGAAACTCTTAACGCATAGTGCAAATAATTTTAAATTCGGGTATTGTTGCTAGTAAAAGAAAAAAAAGAAAATGTAAAAACAGATGAATAAGGAGCTTAGACTTACTACTTGTTGAGAGTGAGCTGTGAGGATGAGCCTATTATCTTGATAGCGAACCTTACCAGATTGATCCTCGATGATTGAAAGTGACCTCGGCTGGCTGTTTCGTGGATGTTTCGAATCAGAACTTGACCAAGCGATTTGGAGAGATGTAAAAACACCGCACTAGATTTCTACCGAGTAATTCGACTGCATCAAGTCAGCAAATATTGACTAAAAATTGGTCGCGGAATGACATTTAGGTAGCTAAATTTTGATTACCTGCGCGCGCGCGAAAGGCCTCTTTTTATATTCGCGAAGGAGTTGATTGTATTAGATGGAGGAAGTCCCGCGTATATTAATGATCTAATTTAGGATTAGGATTAGTAGTATCGATTACGAATTAGATACTGGGATAGGTGTCATCAAAGATATAGAGAATGAACTGCTCGATCGTATCTAAATAGTATGGTCGACAACATTACAAACATCGGCCAATCTCTCTCTTATTCTCTCTCTCTCGTTATATTGTTGAGTGGAAAGAGATAAAGATTGAAATCTTCCACGGTTTCTCTCTTATTTTTGTCGATCATATTACTTAGATACGATCGAGTCCATTCTCTATGTTTTTGGGTGTCACTTGTGGCCTAAATTTCGATTTTTTTAACTATCCAACAACGTTAATTATTTCCGTCATCGACAATTTACTGGATGTTCAATAGGTTAAAGCCACATGTGTCACCTATTATAAACAACTGCAGTTTATAAATCTTTAATCTATTTACTTTTTTTGTTCTTCGGAAGAAAGCTCTTTTATTCAACACTTGGTTCGAATATCTAATTTAATAATTTTCTCCCAAGCTAATTATTATTCTGTAAAGCAAATTGTTATTTCTCGTCACTATTGCAACATCCTGTGGCAGAAACAGATGATCCACAGATAATAGAATTTTATAGCGATAACAAAAATTTTTATCGAAGAAAAGAACTGTGGAGTTTGTTAATGTAACAAAAAAATGTAACAAAAAAATTTGACAATACAAAAATTTATTTAATTAGGTTACCATATTACGTCCAGACTCCGGAAATAGATTTAAAGAAAAGAGGGAATAGGAAGGATGGATGTGGAAGGATGATCAGATTCTTGTTTCGCAGGTATCCGCAGAGTTGAACGCACTCCTTTTGTGCTCACCTAGGAATAGGTCAACGCAAAGACGCTATGACACCTGTTTCCTACGAGTGTGATCGTCGGTCCAAATTTCGAGTCAAGGAATCTAATTCTTTAACTCGGAAATGGACCACGTGCGATCTCTGAAAAGGCAAGATTTAACGACTATGAGGGTTTTTTTAAGGTTTTAAATTTAAAGAACGACAGAGAAAAATTACCAGTATTATTACTAACCATTATCAATCGGACAGAAGATGAAGAAGGTTATACATTAATAACCTTATTTATTACAAACTAATTTACACATTAATTAATTATGATTACTATAAAAAGAAAGAAAAATTTGTAGATCTACACGATAATCATTATTAACTACTTAACATATGACGTCTATTTAATAACTATTTAAATTTTTATGTATGTTAAATCGCCAGAGAATCAGGTTTCAGGGTGCAGAGCACACAGGTTTTGTTCAATCTATTTCATGGATAGTAACGAAGGAAGAAAAAGATAGAAAAAGAATTCCACTGGAACTAAATATGGATTGGCGGAATAAATACAGGAATACAGGAACGAGGAGGTTGGCCGGTAATTTCATGCCGGATTTCATGTGGATCGAAATAATGAGGGCCGATTGTAAAGGTTCTTTCGGGAATAGATGCGGTAGTCCGCGGGAATTGATCTAATAAATGACTCAAAAGTATCACTCTCTTGAATGCGGAAATAGGATCTCGGTGGAGAAGGAGGAATTTCTTCCAAGAACTCCACGCTGTCTATAGAGTTCGTCGGAGACGGAATTTCTCTGGGGGAAACCGGGATTGAAATGATGAATCGGGTGTTAGCGGAGGGATGTTAGGAAAAATTCGCTCCGTCAGGCGTCCAAAAACGCGGATGACGGAGATCGAAAGGGAAGTGAAGGAGTTCGAGGGGGAGGTGAAGGAGAAGGAAGAGGTACCGTGACTCTAACGCATCACGGTTAGCAGGTAGAGTCGGCGGAACCGGTGGCAAAGGTGGTGGAGGCAATGCGTCCTCGACTGGGCGACTCCGATCTCGAGAACCTTTAAGCTACTCCTGGTACTTTTGGTTCAGGAATCTCCGTGCTTGCCGGTAGGCCCGGCTTCTAAGTCAATCCTTGTAGGGACGGTTTAAGTGTGGCACTATGATTTAGCGTGGGTTAGATTTTGCGGATATATGTGTGTGCGTGTGTGTGTGCGCGCGCGCGTGCGCGTATGTATGTGTCAAGACGGGACTTCCTGCTACTCTGCAAAGGTTGATCCAGCAATGTGGAGGCTTCGGTCGAATCACTTGACAGTAATAACGAAATAGATCACTCGATCTAACGGATCGCGGCTCATCACTAAGATCGGTGGAGCGATAAGGCGAAACCGCGAACCGGCAGAGTTTCGTGTCGGAAATGGAGTTTGACTGACTGACTTATCGTGAAGGGCCTCCTTTTTATATTCGCGAGTTAGTGATGCCGAGTGTGTTACTGATATAATCTAGGATTAGGATTAAGGATATCGGTTATGAAATGAGATACTGGGATATGTGTCTAAGACAACTTCCGACATCGAGTATTTGCCGGATGTTCAATAGTTTAGAGTGT